CTCTCTCTCTCTCTCTCTCTCTCTCTCTCTCTCTCTTACGTTGGTTTGAACCCTATAATCTTCTTTCCCTGCACAGATACAGAGGCACTCGAAGAAATGTGTGCGGTAGCAACAGAACTAAAGCAGATCTGCCAGATTGCTTCATCTTCATGTAAAGACAAGTGTGGATTCTTAGGTAGCTATTTATTTGAACATCATCCAATTATGTATGTGACTGAGAGTGTGTTTATGTATGTATGTTTGTGTGTGTGTGTGTGTGTGTGTGTGTGTGTGTGTGTGTGTGTGTGTGTTTTGTGTTGTGTGTGTGCGCTTGTGTGTCTGTATGTTTGTGCTTTTTTACTTTCAGGTGAGTGTTTCAATTTCTCTGTTCAGTCGCCCATCCTCGGTGAATATACTTCCGAGGTACTAAAATTCTTGGACCTGTCTGAGACTGTTGGTGTTCATGTGTATCCTGAGTGGTCCTAGATTTCTGTTAACTTTCATTGTTTCTCTTTTGTTGATGTTGATCTTCATGTCGTAGTTGTTACATTCTTCGTTTAATCTGGGGGTGTGGAGTTGGAGACTTTGTTCATCTTTGTGTGCCAGGCTTTGGTCGTCAGCGAAAAGTAATTCATTTATAGCGTCTCATTCTGAACATACAAAACACTTATTAAAAAACACCTCCGGTGCAGAGCATATCTTCGCAGATGGCCCTAAATCAGACTTAGCTGTGGGCGCTGCCGCCCTGTCCTCTAACAGTACACACCTCGAGAGACTCCACCCTGAATACTCCATTTTTTCTGCGGGGGCCACTACCCTTGACATGACATTGGACTCCGTAGAAAATTACCATAACACATCTTTTCTTGTTCTGTCTGACTCCATCTTGCATCACCTCATTCACAAATCCCTCAATCATACACCCAAAGATAGTTTGGCTGCCACTAAAAATGCACCGTTTAACTGAAACCGGAAAACGTATCGTGCTCGAATGGCTATCTAGCCATGTGGGCATCTGAGGAAGTGAACATTTGGATCTCCTGGCGAAAGAATCCTCGTCATTTCTGTTGGGATCATCGAGGAACACTCTCCCACAGATTGACCTTACAAGTAGAGTCAAAAACTACATGTGCAGTCTGTGAGAGACACATTGGAGAAAACAACCCACGACATCATGCCCACATTGGCTCCACGAAAGGCTTTGGGCCTCCCCAGAAGAGACGTCATCTTTACTCGATTGCGTATCGTACACATGTCCTGGCTGTCCATGACACCTTACCTCCTGCACGGAGATGAGAAACCGTTCTGTGTCGGATGTGACACAGATTTCACCATTAAACACATCTTAACAGAATGTCCAGACTTTGGGGAGACCCGAATAAAGTATTTTAAATGTACAAAACTGAAGGATCTGTTCTCCATCGTTGATCCCAACAGAATCCTCTATTTTGTAAAGGCCATATGAAGACTTCAGGGGAAAAACGACTGTAGTCACAAACTGAAAATCGTGAGTGTACCAATTTCGAACGTTTGTTGACTCATACCTGTATTTCTGTTTAACTATTTGTTGATCACTGTTGTTAGTTTTCCCATTCAACAACATTTAACAATAAACCACCAGTCAAACAAATATGAGGTTATGAGTCCACAAGCTTATACAATTGGCACCCTCACAATTTCCAGTTTGTGACTACTGTCGTTTTCCCCTGTGCTCTTCATATGTAATATACTGCTATTTTGAGATTACGTAAATTTTCATTTTTATATTGAAATTTTCACAATGTATTTTTAACATTTTAATCTGATCATTTAACCAAAATCTGAAGCCATGCAAAGAACTGTCATGAATGCAACAGCTTGTGTTTGTCGCGCACATAAATAATATATGACCTTATGCAGTTGCCATCGCCGTAAGACTCTTGCTGAACTAAATTAAATATGTGAATGTGTATGTGCGTGTGTGTTTTGCCGTGTGCGTGCGTGTGTGTGG